AGTGTTGAAAATTCTTCAGTAGCCTCTATTGAGTGCAATTAAGTTAAGAACTTCCACTTAATTACTATTAAAGGTAGACTTTTGAAGCAACATCCCCTTTGAAATTGTGTTTGCTGAGATTCATCTCAAAGGTAACAAAACAGACAGGAAAATGATCGTTGCCGTTATTACGAACAATTTTCCAAACGTAATTTACGCTGTTTACTATTACGACTGTCAAACCCATTGAATACATTTACGACGACCAAACAATGAGCATTATTGACTTGGTAAGCTAAATAGTTTGTATTGAAAGGTTCATAAAATGTCAGTCACTTTTACAGCTATTTCAAAGATCGCATAACGTGCTTTATTGTTTTGGAAGAGGCTAAATAAACTGTTGAACTTTTAAGAAAATAATATTTTAGTTTAACTTTAAGCTTGATATTCTTTTGGGACAGATAATACAAAGATTTTTATCACCATTTAAATTGTGTTGGATTAAAATTAGTTACTTCTTTTTGATGTTAGCGAAATTTATTGGGCCTAAATATAACACATTTCGGCTTCGTTTGAAAAAACATGTATGTGTCCTTATCAGCCCAATCTGTTTAATCACGTGCAAAATCGTTTAATGATACAATGTTCATCAAGTTTATTGAGAATGCTTCAGTTCAATGTTCCCCCAACTGTTATATACCAACCGAAGAGAATTCTTGGAAGTTAACAGCCTTGGTTGGTGTATTAACCACGAATAATAGACGCAATGGAGCACACAATGAATTAAGATGTTTGACACCTGACTATACACCAAAGGGACCGTTTATTTGTCTTCTCAGAATTTGCTGTCACTACCACTCCAAATACAATTTGGGCAAAATTAGTGGTAAATAGAAAACAATAGCGCAATGAACGCACAAGATGAGAATATGTAAAGTCCGGACGTGGCGGCCTATTGATCAGCACCGCCTTGCCCGCCAACGACGACCCAGTTACAACTGAGCAAGGAAATGACATTTGGGGCCTTTGCCGTACTCCCGATCAAGGCATTTGGGGCCCAATTTGAGGTGTCGCCTTACAAAACCCAATAAATCAAGTCATGGATATTCATTACGTCCGGTTACTTACTTTTAAACGCCTTCTGACAAGGAAATGCGCAATCTAATCGGGCTAGTCCCAACCTTGAACTAAAACGTCAAATAGAGCAACTTTACGTTGGCCCAATCAAAGATAATTGCACGGTGCCTTCTAACTATTAATCGATAAGGTAAGTAAGCATTTTACATCGTTACGGTTTGGAAGCTTTGCGCTGTAAATGAGATTTTGGCGCAGGATTGATTTAACAAATTTAGGAAGAGCTTTTTGATATTGATGTTGAGACAAAAGTTGTACGTAGATTGGACAACCTTTATATTGCGATATATTGTGTTTTTACAAGGTCTCGTAAACATGCAATGGCTACGTCAAACGCGTGGGTGGGTGCACGGTTTCCATCCATATGGTAATTTTCCGACTATTCATCATTTATAATTAATTAAACATATTTTTAGACGAAACTAAATCATAAATTATGTGCAATAAACAAAAACAAAACTTAATAAAAATATACAAAACAAGCACAACCCACCCTGTTAGCGTAAATAGTTTCCACTTACAAAACAATAATCCAAGTCTATTCATACATTGTATAAACAGTTGTTTCAGTCAATTAGAAAATAAGAAACATTTGATCCAAGAAATACGTTTCTGATAGTAATTAATAACTGCACTGACATAAAAGTTCTTATACTGTATCTGTTGTTCTGGCCAATAATTGAGAAGCAATATAACTGTAACTTATTATAGTTTCCGACAAGTTTTCAATAACTCATAGATTAATAATGGTGTTATAATCCCAATGATTAACGTCAACCAATTGGGATTCATTTATAATTCAAAGTTCTAAAAAATTAAAATGTGGCAATTTATATGCACTCTCACAAAAGTGTCATATTTTTATTTCAAATTTGAATTTAAAATATTACATGTTTTGCCAATCATTAAAAGCTAGTCAATTCATTCGTTATCTTTTGTGAATAATATTTACATATTTTTGCAGTTAATGTAATAAACTGCTATCAGACAAAAAAACGCGCATATTGAGAGAGATAAAAAACTATTTATTATTTTATGATATTACAAATTGTTAGTACAATATAACTAATAATAATAAAGTGCATTACCCATTTTTTGTAGTTACAAAACTACAAAAAAATCCAGAATTAAACTTGCTTATGCATACAGCATTTGTTCTAAGCTTAATAACATATATTTATTTCATTTTTAATCGCGTTTTCTTAAATGGAGTAAAAAAATTTGTTCAAAAATAAAACTAAGAAAAAAATTAATAAATTTACTTCAAACTGCATTTTTGTAGTACTACCATCATCGGAAAACTAAATTACTGTTATCACATGTCACAACTTTAGGCAAAATTCCAAAACTCTAATTTATGATTTGGTGCAACATAAAATAATAATACACTTGAAACTTAAAAGAAAATACCCTAAAATCTGGCATATAATCGTAAATAAACAATTTCATAAAATACTAATAAACTGTTCAAATGCGTTAAAAAGAATACACAATGTTTTTTTAATTCTACAATAATGTTTTCATATTTGCCTAAATTAATAAACAATATAATAAATTAACAAATAATAATATAAATAATTGTTTTTCTAAAGCAAATATAAAAATTTAGTGCAAAATAAATAAATAATAGATAAATTTAAAACACACTTGAAAAATGGTGGATGCGCCGGGATATTTATCCTATAAAATCATAACGAGGTTACTGTTTCAACATATTTTTACAAGTAGTGCAATAATTGCATAATACGTATACAGTAAATTGCATCCTTTAAAATTTGTACTATTCTGTGCAGCAGTTTGGTGATATAAAGTTGGTATCAGCGGATGTTCGGCTGGTAGCCCTCGAGTTCGTATAAAGCACACATTCTTCCATCTCTTAAACTGCAGTGTTTACAATATTGCGCGCTTAAAAATGCATAGCAAAAACATGCCAAAGATATTTTCGTTTGCGATCATAAAGCAGCCGATTTGTAGCGTTCCGACATTGTACAGCGTACAAAATAGTAAGAATGAATTAATTAAAAGTATGACGCGTCATCACCCGTATGCAGTTTCCTGGACGGCAAGAGCAGCAATGATAGTGTAATTTGATCGTTAACGCAATTGCGCGGGCTAACAATTTAACCCCAAGTTCTGATTTGGAGGTCAAATCCATATTCGTGATGGGGAGATTTGTTACCGTTTGCCACTTCTTATTTGAAAACTCGCTTGTTTAAATTTATGGACTGAAAAAAAACTAACAGTAAACTTGCACAAAAAGCTGAGCTGTGAAAATTTGAATTCATCAATTTAAAGTTTCAGATGCCTGCTCTGTAATTAAATTAAAACTCAGCACAGATTTCCAACTAATTTACTACTTTTCAACTTGAATGTAAAAATAAATAAAACACACCTTAAAAGCTAACCCCGCTTTTTGATCGGTGAAAGTCAATTAGTAATACAAATTCATTGAAAACATGTGATGTGCTACTACAGCAAACATGACTAATTTTGGTTTATTCTCAAAATGCTATTCACAGCAAAAAGTTGCTTAAATAAAAGCTTTGCAAACAAGAACACCATAAGCAGAACTTTTGTTTGATTGCCATCCCTTTTTTTTTAGTTCAATATATCACAAAAAGCTCAATATTTGCTCATCTTATCCTCCAGTTTCAGCCTTAAGTTTCTTTGTTGATTTAATTAATAATTCTTGATTGTTTTAAGTACATATACTGATCTGATACCAATTCCATTCTTTGCTCAAGCTTTCGTTTAGAAAAAATATTATTTTAACATAGTATTTCCTACTACAAATTAATTATTTTGTTATAAATTAAGGGGCATCAAACCAACCAACCAAAAAATATAAATAAATATCTTGTTACTTTTTAATTTCATGTAAAAAAAATGGTGGAATTAAATGTTACATTTAATTTTATTAATTTTACGGAAAGTAAAATGAAACCAAGAGATTTTATATAACGTTTGCCATCGATCTTACAGTTTCTTTTTTGAATTTCACAGTTACATCACACAAAAACCCATCAACGTGTGTATTTATAAAATATTGTTTGATCTTAAATCAATATTCCATAAATAATAACCATGTTAACATTCTAGTGCACATATCAACTAACAGATCAATGCCTCTGATCTTTAATATTCGTTCAAACAATATCTATCTAGAAAAAAAAACAATTTTCTAAATCAATCTGAAAAGAATCTATTTAACAAAATAATTCTGATAATATCCTTTATAATATCAGACCACTTGAGGCTTCCGTCACATTGTCTGACCCGTTTTGCTATTCCCACCCTGCTACTAATTGTAGTTGACACTTTATCTGTTCCGCTGCAGGAAGTTGACGATGAACTTTCCAAGAAAGCCAAAGCACAGATAATAATTAATAATAATTTCAAAATCCAAAAGTATCTTTGGTAAAAATATCAACTTTTGGTGCCATCGATTACCATTAATGTGTTCAATAATTTCTTAAAACGGTCATTAGTCACAAATCGTTTGTTTTATAATCAATATTTGATAACACACGTCAAGTGTTTGGAGAGTGCTAGAAGGCAGTAAGTAAGAAATCTGTTATTATTTATTTATTATTCAGAGATCGGCTGATGAGCGAGCTTTTAGAATAAAAATAGACGATTTTTGTTGATAAATGTGGTATTGATTCGGTGTAAAAGTTGTTATTGCCATCGACAGAATTTGTAAAAAGGTTTCTTATTGTAAAACCAAGGTGTTGTCGCTAGCGTGCCGAATTCGCGATCCCGCTTGATGTTAATGGATAAGTGGAGTGGTAATGAGCGACTTTCCGCACACCGGCCGGGCTAGGTAGACGAAGTATTACATAACGCAAGAAGATCCTGGGATTGCCTTCGCGCTTCCGGAAACTTACTGGTTGTGGAAGTGCTGCACATATCCCCCGGGTCCTGACACCCGGCGATGGAGGCTCCTGACAGACATAGGTCTGAGCTGACTAGCATCGCCCCGCGGTCACCGCTGGCTCACTCCCGGACATTACGCAGGGTTCCTCATGCGACCCCGTTGCGCCGCTGACTGCCGGCCTCGAGGATGTTCAGCTGCACCCGCGCATGCTCCCACGGCAATCATGTGTTAAACAATTTCATACATCTTCATTTAACGCATATCGTGTCGTTTTGCAGTCTCAGTCTCGCCACCTACCCCCATTAACCCCAGCACGACAAAAATCCAGCAAAATGCTTAAAATGGTTCCAAGGAACCGGAAGCGCTAAGCGCAACTGTCACCGAATCGATTACAAGACCACCCTCAACAACGAACGTAGAACACTTATCATAGACTAACGGCCCGAGCTGCTGCTACACCGGACATATTTCAAAGAAAAAGGGTCCAAATGTTGCACAACTACTGCGTGCACATATAAGCCTTTGATTAAAATTTTATAAATCCACCAGAAAAAGCTCCTCATACACTGTATCATTTTTTTTTTAAATGAGCAAATAATTTGAAATTAAAATACTACGAAATAGTATATTAGCATCAAGAACGGTAAGGACAGACAATTGTCTTCGATCGGTAAATCTTTAACGTTCGTGGTAACATTTTTTTCGCGATTGATTTTTGTTAGTTTTTTTAATAAGATTTCTAAAAAATGTTCGAGAACGGCAAAGTATTTTTAAACATTTTTGAATGCTTACCGACTTAACAACAATAAACAAAATACTTGCCGACGATTGGGGTAGCAACAAGTAAATAGAACTTACTGTCTTGGAAACAGATCAGAATCAAATAGAGCTCAATGGCGCAAAAAATATTAAAATAAAACGCTCGTCAACTAAGAGTCCATTTTATTCAGACTTTGCATGTAGGTACAACAGCAAATTATATTTCTAAAATATCTCATTACAAAATTCTCCGAATAGTTTTAGGTCCCGCCACTGCACATTCACTACAAGTAGGTACTTGTTTTAAAGTCATACTAAAGTCTTATGAATTCAAATGTTTAAAGAGTTCGTACAACTGTACAATGCTTGTCTTGAAACGTTAAAATTCAAGTGTGCGTCCTAAAAATTTTGCTTTTGATTATGATTATCCTGGCGCGGCATAATGAAATTGGCACATAAAAATAAAGTGAGGTCACTTTGGCACACTAAATTAGAGCAAAAATTAAGATTGCTCAGTTAGAAAATTACGATTTTGGAATTGTATTTTGTTTATTTCGCACGTTCATCAGATAATCTTATCCTTTAGTATCTGAAATGTTAACATTCTTTTATCGCAAATACAGATCTATGCAAATATGGCTTATTAATACAAGCATTATTGCATAAATTATGTCTATTTATACAACAGTATTTATTTTTGAATGAGAATAAAATAAACAAATTAATTAAAAAAGAATAGGTCTAGTAATATTTTTTTGTTTTTCATAAATGTATTTATGCTCTACTGACCTATAAGAGATGAAACATTTCTTTTTTCTTTTACTTGTAATAGAGATGGAATTAAATCCCTACTATTAACTGAACGATATAAATACCAAATTGTAATCTTTGTAATATAAATCAATGCTTTTAACAAGTAGGATTAAATAAATTCAAGCACTCATGGTCCATTTTCGACATTTAAATCGGTAATATAACTAAATGAAGTTCTATATTGACAATAAATTGACTCGATTAAATCAGTCGCTTTAATACTATAAGAAATTCCGACTTCAGTGATTAATAAAAAGAAGGATTTTTTTATGTAGGTATAGAAATATGCTTTAATTGAAGTTTTTTAACAGTGAACAAGAATAAGAATTTTTCTTCTATAACACCTGTCATAGTGATAAAAATTCTTCTAATTTTTATTTGCCAGTAAATTATTTTGCTTAGAAAATTCGTTTTGAATAGCATAAACTGGAATGTATCTTCCTTAAAATTTTCAAAAACAGTTCAGAATATTTATAAATCGCTTCGATAAATATAGATCTAAGCCGTAGTACTAAACTAGCCTCCCTTCAGCACTAGCACTCCCATCTAAAACTAGTTCAGTTCTTCCACTCAGGCGCTATAATTGGTAATTTAGCACTGATCTTCTCAGCAATTTTTTACTTTTTAAATCTAATGAGTAATAACGTACTATACAGGATGCGCCAGAACTCGGGCCCAGAGAAAAATGCCATGTAAGGTAAGATACCAGGAACATGAAAAAAATGTTAATAAAATTCTATGTATAAAAATCTTGATGTTATGAGAGTTTAAATTTTGCTCAATTTATTTCTGTTAGAAAAATAATTTTCCATGTTTTTTTGCTACAGGCTATTAGAAGAGATAACAAAGAAACTGTATCCTAAATTGTAACTCTGTTTAATATTATATTTGTGGCTTTTATTGGCAAAATTTTTGTATCTTTATTAAATAATTAGAGAGAAACATATACAAGATCATCAGTATCATTAAATAAAATAAAAAAATGTCAAACGTCAAAAAATAATTGTTAAAATTTTTTGACAGATAGAATTTTTTAAACACTTTTTCCATGTTTCTGGTATCTTATCTTAGTTAAAAATTTTCTCTAGGGCGCAAGGTCTGACACACCTTGTATAAAAAATACTGAATAAAATTCTTAGTTCGGTAAATTTTAGTTTTTAATAAAAAAAATATTTTTTTCATGTCTTTTCTTCTTATACTAGTGTGAGTAGTAAGATTTATAAATAGGTGAAAATAACGGCAGTTCAATTTTAAAATTTGGCATAAATTTCATCCTGCTATAATAGATCACCAAGCAGGAAAGTAACATTACAACGCGAGGTGATTATATTCACCTCTACTGTAAAAAATTACTTTACTCTTAGACACGTTAGTAGCTATTATTGGGTAATCTTCAATGGTTCATCAGTTTTTAGTTAAAACTTTTTATTATAAATATTAATGTATGAAATAACTACTTTATTATAATAATTAATCGTTATATGTTCAGACTAATCAATCTTAAAATGCTTTTTTGAAGTAACAAACAATACACTTTTTAATTCCTGATTGAAGTATTTCTTTTACATATAGAACAATCGACATAAACATTTAAATCTCTAAAAGAATCTATCTTTTAAATATATCACACAATATTCGTACATTTATTCTTATAATACCGTCGGAATTTCTTATAAATCTTATAATACTGAATATATTTAATTCACCAATAATCCTACATTATTACACAAAAAGAAAACGGACAACAAGCAAATTTCTTATAAACCGTTTGAGGGGGAACAAGATGTAAATCCTCCTCTTCCTCATCATCCCCGGATATGCTCATTTCCTCTATACTAAAAGTATCAGTGAGTTCCTGGTGAATTCTCGATTCCTTGCGTGACAAAGGAAAAAAATTGACTATATCTTCTTCACTAAAATATCCCAATTTTTATCATCAAAGCGTCATAAAACCCAAACAAACCTATCATCAGTGTCCCACTGGACTAGCGGCTGATGGTCTTTAACCCCAGGAATTGGAAGTCTTTGAATTGGAATAAGACCAGGAGTTGTATGATATTCCTGGTGTAGTCTACGGGCATGTTCTATTCGGGCTTCTAGTTTTCTTTGGAGTTGACGGGAAGTTGGCAAAGACCTAGGCGGCGACCTACTACTGTCGGCGCTGGAAGAATCGCTACCCTAAAGATGATTAATAAAATTAAATGACCTTTGCGTTAATAAACTAGGACACGATAATGTCACGAACAAATCAATTTTTTAATAAAGTTAAAAAACATACTCTAGGTTTTAATGATGCGTCCCCATTATGGTCTCCACTATCAATACCACTATCTTCCATCACAATTTTATTAATTTGATGAAATATTATGAAATGGTAGTGTTAGAAATCACATGTTTGAGGTTGAAGAAATTTGTTAGATTCCGGAAAATCGATGATTACTTAAAGTGGAATTTTCAGAAAATGTTTATTTTCGTTTCAACAAATTTGTTTTGTGTGTCGTGTAAAGATAATTCTGTTATCTGCACAACACTTCCACTGCAACTGCCATGATACATATTGGGGAGTTATACTAAAAAATCAATAGGACGGTTCTGACGCCGGCTGTGGATATGCGTAAAGAAAGTCTTTATTTATTTTAAGCGAATAAACACACATGGAAATAAATAATTACAAAAATAAAATGAAGAATCAATCAAGCCTTTCCTCACCATTTCATATTTTTTAATTGTTGATAAGTTACATAATTACGATGTTGTCAAGACAACAAGTAAATATTGTCAATTTATGGCCCATGGCTAATGTCAATGTAAATTTGTCATTTTGAATGTAACAATCCTCATAAAAATGCCTCCTACAGCAACTATCAAAAAAGTTTTAAACACAAAAACTTTGGTAAATATTAAGAAAACTCCCTTGATGGAAATGTAGACACGCTTTTTTAGAAAAAAGGTCGCCAAAGTAATAGTCGCGTTGAGGATGGAGACGACTTAGAAGAATGGAAAAAGTCCAAACAACTATTACGCCCAAAAGACCAGCTCGAATTAAGCGAAGGAGTAAGATTTTCATACCAAAACACTTCCCTTTACCAACTTTTTCCAGGAATTAAAAGACATAATCGCACGACAATTAGGAACAAATGACCCTCTAATTCCGCAAAATTTAGTCCAATTCAACTATGCCCAAGGAGGTTTTGAGTTAATGCCACCCGCAGGTCCAATGATTGTTGTTTATGAAGCTCAAGGCACCCAAATTCATAAAGAATCAGAGGAAGCAAAAAAACAGGTTGTTGAGCAAGGACTTGACCGTATAATTTAATTATAAGCTGTTGGATTTTTTTTAATCGGAATATTTTAGCTTCAATTTTGGAAATAAGTCAAAGTACTGAAACTCTGCAGGTTGAAGAACCAATTCCGGTGATACCTGAGGAAGTAATTGAGATAGATGAAGAAGTTACAGCTGAAGAAAGTGAAAGACTGGAGGAGGAAACAGAAGCTGAAGAGGGTGAAGGTGATGCCGAGGGTGAAGGAGAGGGTGAGGGTGAAGGTGAGAGTGTCAGACCTGACGATGAAGATGAGAAGCCCCAAACCAGTGGGAAACCAAAGAAATTGACGAACCAATTTAATTTTTGCGAACGTGCTGCTCTTACGTATAATAATCCAATGAGAACTCAAGAAACACAAACTATTCCTCCACCTATGGGAACTTTTTCGGCTAATGTTTTACAATGGATAATTTATGATGCGTACCAAGAGGATTTTGAGGCACAACAGTTGGAAAAGGAACTTGAGAGAGAAAGGAAAGAGAAAGAAAAAGCACCAGTTTCGAAACATGCAGCCATGGTGAAGAAACTGGTCGGAAAAGCGCATCAGTTGAGTGAAGCTGTCCAAGGACGGGTTTTAGAATGTTGGAAGGTTTTGGAACGGATGGTCAACCAAAATACCTTTGATGATATAGCTAAAGGTTAGTGTAAGCTTTATCCAGAGCTTAAATAATCAAAACGAGAGTAGATTATAGATACTGGGAGGACCCATCCGATGAATTTCGTGATGAGGAAGGTACTTTGTTGCCTTTGTGGAAATTCCATTACGACAAAACTCGAAAAAATACGGTTACTGATATTGAATGGAACCCACACTATTATGACTTATTTGCAGTTTGTTTCGGTTTCTGTAATTTTATATGGATATTTTTGCATTTTCTTGTCACATCGTTTGTAGTGGATTTCATGAAACCGTTAGAAGAAGGCGCAGTTTGTCTCTTCACTTTGAAAAATCCTTCATTTCCCGACTATATCTGCATGACGGATTCCGCAGTCATGTGTGTAGATACTCATCCTAAATATCCTTACATGGTGGTAATAGGATTATACGATGGTAGTGTTAGGGTTTACAACGTTCAAGCCACTTGTAAACAACCTGCCTTTAGAAGCAATAATGTCACAAATAAGCACAGAGGCATAGTCTGGGAAGTAAGTCGATTATTACCCTTAAAAAAAAGTTTTCATTTTATTTAAGGTTAAATGGGCACCTGATTTGCCCGATGGTGAAATGAATTTTTATTCGGTGTCGGAAGATGGTAAAATCAATAATTGGGTTTTAATGCAAAATGATTTAGCTGTGACAACAATTATTACTTTGTTTTTGGCTAAAGATGAGGTTTTTGGGCCGGATGGTACAAAATTAAAAGTCAAAGGTAACTTTAAAAAAAACTTTTTTGAAAAAATAAAAATCGTTTCAGGCTGCGCTTCTTGTGTAAAATTTCATCCTAAACAACCTCTCATCTATTTGGTTGGGACTGAAGAAGGCAACATCTATAAATGTAGTACCGCTTACAGTTCTATGTTTCTCCTAACTTACGAGGCGCACCATATGCCAGTCTATAGAATAGACTTCAATAGGTACAATTCCGATATTTTTATATCGTGTAGCGGTGATTGGAGGATCAAAATTTGGGAAGACAACAGATTGTGAGCAAAAGAATTATTAAATATTTCTATGAAATAAATATTCTAATCTTTTGAGGGAGCCACTTTTCGTTTTTGATGTCGGAGCTTGTGTTGGTGATGTAAAATGGGCCCCTTATTCCTCCACTGTCTTTGCAGCAGTAACCAGTGAAGGGAAAGTTTACGTTTTTGATTTAAATGTAAATAAATACAAACCGATTTGTGTCCAAGCCATTGTATCCAAACGGAGGAACAAACTGACAAGGATTTCCTTTAATCCGAAATTGCCTATTATAATTGTTGGAGATGACAAGTAATTATATCTACGTTCAATATACGCACAAGCAAAAAGAATCTTTCAGAGGATGTGTACAAACTTTAAAACTGTCACCTAATTTAAGAATTCCTTGCAAAGCACCGAAGAAACAACAACATTTGGATCAATGGACCCTTCAGTGTATGAAGTTAGACAAACTGTTGTCCCTAGTAAGAGAACCAGGAGCGCTAGACCTTCCTGAGGATACGGCAGAGTCAATAGAATCATAAATAAGCGTATTTTATCGGTAAACTTTATTAACATTGAATAAACTTCTACATAAATATTTAAACAATATTTTTTAACAAAACGCTTTGGCACATAGTCGTGTAACATAATATAGAGTTCACATTTGAAGAATTGAGCAACTAATTAGGTACAATAGTCATTAAATAACAACCTCTTGTTTAGTAAAAGTGATTGAACAAAATACTTTCGTACATCTTTAAGAAACGGCAATAACATAAATTTTTATATCATGTAAAAAAGAACTTTGTTTTTTCTTATCCGCTCTTAAATAATCTAATTTAAATGTGCTTATTAACTATGTGATAATAAAATAATTTCTTGGAACAATAGCTGACTAAAATACTGCATATGATCACAAAAGTAGAACTATAGAGTAGCCTACTGGACACAATTTTATCACAAACAATTAAGGAAAAGGAAGTCTACTGGGATTAGGATACTCGGGATTTTCAATCGCACCCTTACCAAATTTTAATTCTAGAAAATCTCTAATATTATTCGGACTCGGTACTTGTCTCCCTATAAATTCGATACTTGACATAGGATGAAGAAAATTCTCGGGAAACTCCATATTTTTATGACTCGTAAACCACGAGTCTTTCACCATTGTTCCATTTTTCGAATAAAACGGAAACAAATTGACGTACATTTTGTTGGTTTTACTGTAATTAACTCTGTAGAAATTCCCCCCTGTAGCTTTCTCCCACAGGAAGCCCTTGGAGTCAACAACAGGTTTGTCTTTCGCTTTTTTTAACCAAGGACTTCTTAGTAAATCATCCCGATTAAAACCAACGTCTACGTCGTGGTCCCATGGTAAAATATCCCCACTTCTCATAGCCCCCAACAAGCTTCCAGCCTCCAACCAGTATCTAATCCCAGCTTCGTCCAGAGTGTTAAAGACGTGTTTTGCTGTTTTCCTCAAATTGGAAAGACAGCAAGGGGGCGTCCATCTACCCTCGTACAAATACGATGGCATGAGGTCGATAATGGTACCAAAGCAACGAGAGGTCTCCCGTGTGCAACCATACCATTCTGTAACGCCGGTTTCTCGGACGACTTGCTTGATTTGGAAAACTTTGTACAGATTTTTCAGACGCTCGGTGTAGATTTGTTTTTGTTTCCACTGAGCGTGATGTGACTTTAGAACAGGTTTACCTTCTTGAAAAAATATACCTTTCACAATCTTGACCTGCCAAAAATCACAATAATTATACATTCGCTTGAAGTAAAAAGTCAACACAACTTACCTCTACCAGTAAAGGAGCGGTTTGTATATACAAGGAATGAGGAAATGGTAAAATAAACGGTTCTGGCAATTGCCTCAAAAGATCAGTTTCCATTAAAATGAAATGCTTGCCTGTCACGGCATCACAAAGATTACTTTTTGTTAAACTATACTTAAGCGTCCATTCCCGAACGTTAACATTCACTCTAAGACATCCTAACTCTTTTTTACTCGATGCTGGGGCAACGATAATTGAACTGGGTTGTTTGCCCAGTTCAGCAACCATTAATTGGAGATTTAGTCTGGAAGAAATTCGGGTCGAGTCTGGGACGAAAAGGACATACTTTGTCTTAATTTGAAAGACTGGATATTTTTCTGCATACGGAACTTTGAGACTTGAAAAGAGAGCATATCCTTTCACATTTTTTAAACTGTTATTTCTTAAATTAATATCAAGAGGCGGATATGGAAGTGAATCGTAAATTATCACCACTTGGATGTTTGGAAACACGTTTAAGAAGGATTGAACGGTTGCGGTAACATCGTTTTCGAAAGATTCAAACTCTCTCACGATGATTGTCACTAATTTACTAACATGCTTGGAAGGTGATTTTGTTGTAGTTTTTATAGTCGGAGGTGAGTAGTATGTTTTAAAGCCTCCGAAAGAAATTAATAAACGCAAACTATAGTAAATCACGATAACATTAGCGAACACAACAATAAATGCTATTAAACGGGTAAACTTTATACGCATAATCAGATCACTGGTTATTAATATTACGCATTTACGACCTTTTTCATTTTTCAAAGTCACTGATTTGTATTATTTGAATTTTGGGCATTTTTAATTAAATATATTTTTCATGTTTGACGTTAAAGATTTTGGTTGACAAGGGTGACCTTGAGAAGGTCTGTGCGCATGAGAGAATATAAACTCGCGAGAATAAACGCCACGAGAATTCCACTAGCGTCGTATGTTTTGTGTCTAATTTTTAAAGTCATTTATTTACAGTCATAAAGTAATAATGAAATTACCTTGCAGGTCAAAAGTATGACATTTCAACTTCATGTAATATTTGATATGAAATATCAGGTTAAGAGGTTGCGAAGTAACCGTATACCAACCAACTCAACTGTCATATATGTCATGTTTTTCAAAATATGATAATTTTTTGTTGGCTTTCTGTTCTTTAATGAGGATGATTGTGAATAAAATAGTATACAGTTGGAGACAAATTACTTTGGTCGTCACTTTTCTGACACTTTAGTGTAGTGTTTTAACGTTAAAATGATTGATAATTTCAAATTAATGACAGCTATTATATTTTCCTATCAAAAATATGATTACATACAACTTGTCAACTATGATTGACAGTAGCTAAAAATAAGGTTAACAGTCCTAAAGCATGCTTTACAATTTAATATCACCTAAGTGACATTGACGACCAAAGTATTTTGTCTCCAACTGTACAAACCTTGGTGGTCGTATCCGTATGTAATCTACTATTTCTTGTATTTTATAAAAGTATTAAATTTTTCTAATAATAATTTAATTTAATTATTTATTTAATGGAAGATTTTTTTTCGAGTTCAGTTTTATCACTTGTCTTATACTTTTTTATTCGCTTCATCTTCATAAAAATTGAGAAATAAATGACTTTTGGTTAAAAAAAAACCGCTTGTGTTCTTAGTTAAGCATGTTATGTTAAGTATCAGGAGTTGGATTATTAAAAATATTATTCAAATCCTTGAAATAACAAGAAATAGAATACAAAATGACCACAAAAATTGAGTAAAAAACTTCCCGCGGGCAAAAAAAATAAAATTGCTTGTGGTAACAAAAATTAGAACACAAGATCACTCGTGACTTCAGAAACTTGTGCGGAAAATCGCCCATGGGAGTAAAAAATTGAATAAAAAACCGTTTGTGGTCTTTTTTAAAAATGTCTTTATTTATCAATTACGATATACCTGCTCCTTGTATAACTATTAAATTGAGATTAAGATAACAAATAAAAAATATGAGAGAGACAGTAAATATGAGAGATGGTAAATATAAAGTAAAAAAGACTCATTTTTATTGAAGTTTCTTTTATTTCTATTCAAAGAATACATTGTGTTTGTCTAAAGTCAATATCATTAAATGGGTATGATACACTTTGCCCAGAATATTTAATATACAAAGAGATTTCCAAATTAAATGATATAAAATTTTCAAGTATTACGTCGTACTTCTTAGAAGTAAAATGAGGGGGCATTTTTCTATACAAGAAATAAGTGTAGGTAGCAACTAATGTTCTGGACAAACTGTTAATTGTTTTATTAAATATAGTACATCTGCGAAAGGCTTATTATATAATTACAACTGTCGTTCGCAGCGCCGTTTTTTAAAATCTATCTTTAGAATTGTAATCGGTTTCCAGTTTAACGTACTTTCTAAGACATATTGACAAAGTATTTAAATATTTTTTGTCAGACAAAGTTAATTAGTAAATATTTCATTTGTATCGAATATGGAATGTTTAAATATATAACTGTTTGCATGACGTAACGATGTTTATATAATATGCTAAAGGCTTTCTTAGGCAAACATCCAGACAAATCAGACTGGAATCAGTACGAACTGCAGACATACAATTTGCAAATATACTTATCAACTAACTAGAACTATATTATTCTATTATCATATAATTATATTGTAATGTTTAAAAAACTGGCTGCAGCCTTACAAGATACAAAATGCTTGCACAGCAATATTGCAGTTATCTGCATCAGGGCTGGGCGTATCCCTTCAGAGGAAGCAAGTATCATTTGATAATCAATTATTAGAATTCACTTTACACTATGTTCTATGCAAACTGTTTACAAAATAAAACAAACTGCAAATTGATGCCCCAAAAAATTTGATACTCATTAAAAAAAAATCTAGCGCTAAAATCTATAAAATATCTGAGTGCCAAAGTTCTGTAATATTTAAATATTCAACTTGACTAGGTATACTATATTATTAAAATTCTATCTACAACTTTATACAATTTGGGAATTACAGATGCTGAATATAATTTATTGGAATTACCTTAGTTAAAATGCTAGAATGTAAAAATCAAACAATTATTGCAATTTTTTGTCGTGTTCATGATATTAAAATAATTGTTTTGGTTTTACAAAGGTGATAAAATATTTACAAATTTAAACAAAAAATTGCAACAGTCTCTACAAAACATGACTTTTGTATTCAATCACAATATTATGTATGCACAAGTTTGATACAAAAATGTGTCTCAATGTTATTTCAAATTTGCCTCACAAATTTATTAACAAATTGACTGAGTTTGTTGAAAAAATATCAATAACAGAAACCTACACATACGAAAATAAATCAACAACGCAATTGGTGTTTTATTTACTAATAATTCTACTGCATATAAAATATTTGAGCAACAATAAAAATAAATATACCTAAATTGAGATTAAAAGAATTAAATAACAAAAATAATAACAATGACTACTATTTTGTTTTTATCGCTGAGAAATAATATTTTACTAAAAAAATAATTACGAATTAATTAGTCGCTATTCACGAGCTTGCTAAGCTTATTAGGAAGTTTGTACTGTGATAACGCGCACAAAACCGAAAAAAAGTAGCTTTACTGTCTAATCTTGGACACGGAGTATTATATATTTCAGTCTTATGTACATTACTAGATGCGTTAATTTATTATGTATAAAATAGCTTAATTTCGAAAAGAAATCATTCGAACGAAAATAAAATTTTTGCCCACTTTGTAACTTATTTACTCACGGTGGCTACGAAATGAGCGTTCGAAAAATTTGCACGTAGGTAACAAAGTGGGTGGCTTTTCATAATAAAATATGGAGTATACAATAACAAAGATACAGATGGAACAACATTATAGCTAAAGAATATACAATCTAATCACAATGTTGCTAAATCATAACAATCTATCATTACGGACATTCTTACCTAACACATTCATAAGAAGCACTTTATTAATCATGAAAATACTTAAACGAGTCTATCTGTCTAAGACACTGCCTAGGTCTACACTAGCGCACCCTCTACTTTTGACTTTTATCCTTTTCGCACATTTAGTGTAAACTATGTCGCTATCTTTACTGTATCCTAACATTATAGAGTCTCAGATCCATCAATTTCTCATCGGCGATGCCACCCACATTCGCGATTTTTTATTTATTATTTTACTTTGTATATAAAAATGTCTATTCCATCCCGGAACAAACAATAACAAAGGTTTTTTCATATATTAACTCTGAAACAAGAGAACAATTTACGTATAATCACTTATTGATTTCTCTCTATAAAATTTAGACATCAAGTTTCTTAGAAAAAGGATTTTTTTTGGTTTCGTGGATGTGGGTGGTATGCGCTTGGCTTGTACGAAACGGGCTACTTAAGCCCTGTATATGTAAGAGGCAGTGCGGGGAGGTGTCGGTGATGGCGATGAGGAGGGCGGCGAAGGGGAACTGGAGGATCCACTGCTCGTCGGCAATACACTGTGCCCCGAACGTGGTGGGCGCGGCCGTCCCAAACTTCGTGCACCCACTCCGCCCTCCTCACTGTTTTCTCAGAGGTATACCTTCTTTACGCTGCGAGTGGTTGCAAAGCCATCACCTCTCCTATAATTATCACCCTGGAAGAAAATTCAACATCAGGAAATCCACGCAAACTTTGGAAAACCGTGTGGAACAGCAGGCATTGCGGAAACCAACCCCACTACACGACCACGAGACAACGAGTCAGGTCAGGACGGGGGTTACCGGGTAATCAAAATTTTCACAAACCGCGTTGTATGTGGAAAGATTTATTTTCATTGGGGAGTAGATCATTTTCAAAAGCAATTTGAAAATCGCAACATTCAGATTTGGATTAAAAAAATTGCTTCCATAAATTGTTACTAAAAACGGTTTCATAGTGCGATAAACTGCTTAGAAAAAACAAGTATTGTCTAATATGATTAACGAACTATTTTCTCTAATTTAAATAATTCTTCAAAAAAATGATTTAGTTATTTAATGGAAATTTTGATTGCTAAGATAATCGTTTTGCACTTTTGTGCATAAAAGTTACGAGAAATTGTGTACTTAAAACTTTGTTATGGTTTTCTGATTTGCCGGCAAACGTCAGTTACTTTAATTTAAAATTTGAGCTAATTTCAGTACGAGTATTTTTGAAAAATATAATAGGTGGTAAGGTAGTTCAATTTGTTAAATTAACAGTCATAAAACCAACCTGCACTCATAACTCCATGTCCCAAATACTTCTATCGTGGATCACCCGGTATACCCCACTGGAAAAAATATTGTTGGCAGTAAATTAACTGCTACCAATTGTCAAATAAATTTAATTGATAAAAAATGGCTCCCACTAATTTGACATTCAGTTAACAGTTGAAAATATGCAAACTGATCCACTAGTCGACTTAAAAATGCATAGATGTTCTAGAAGTCTCGTTTGAAACTCCACCAAATCCACATCAACTTTCCACAACATCCATAAAAAATGAATATTATTTGAACATACCAACCTGATGTGAGCGTAGGGTGCCGAAATTGTCACGACCTCGGTAATTATCCCGGCCATTATAGCCAGCATCAGTCTGAAATTGGAAGAGGGTCTCTGAATTATTTTGATGAGGGCCCTTTCTAAGTGTATTCTTTGGCGAATGTAGCTTTGGTGGAGGCTGCGGCACCAGGACTGGTTCGGCGTACGTTACCTCCTCCTGCGGCAGCAGCTTGGGCTCCGCTTGTATCCTGAAAAGCGGCAAAGAACTAAATAAAGCGTTGTTTTCGCATTTCTTGAGTCGACGAGTACCTGTTCATGTTTTGCCGCTGCTCGAAATACTCGTATTCGGTGTCAGGATACGGAAGGTTATCATCTTCGTCCTTATGACACTTCCTTCCGCAGAGATAACCGGCGATGAAACCGACCACTAGGGCCGACACGGCGCCCGCCACCACCGCCATGATGAGGGTTTCCACAGAGTACTGCGCGGGGAGCGTATCCGCGGCCGACACCGCTGGATCTGCAACAAGAAAGCGCTCTAACTCAAGTCACATACGATTTTTTTCACTCACCACTGCTTTCGTATGTCTTATCTTGGACAATGTTGATCACTTGCCCATCAGGTTGGTCCTTGCTGGGCTGGTGGTCTTGGTTAAATTTGGGTTGGCTGGAGCTCAGACCGCCCACCGAGCCAGCGTCTTTGCCCAGCTTGGGCGGGGGACAGGCGGTGTGCTGCCCTGTGGCGACGCTTTGAAAAAAGTAGCTTTCGTCGCCCCACCGGCCCGACCCGTGTGACCTGCATTTCCCCTGCACCTTGTCCCAGGCACAGTAGGGATCTTGTAGTGCGACACATTCGCTAAAAGGAATTACGTGTTTACAACGTACTAAATTACGAAACTCGTTAGCTTACCTGCAACTCGATATTTTATTGCTGTCGCATCGGTGTAGACGGAGAGATTGCACCTCGCCGTCTGATATGACGACTAGGCGGCCTTCATTCTTGGAATTTCGCACCACTTTGATTCCTCGTACAGGCACATGGACTGGGAACACTTGGATTTCTTCGACCACGACGGGCCGGACGCCGTAGCGGGTTTCCGCCGACAGACCGTTCACAGCTTTGATAATTTTACCATTATCTGAAATAAAAATTAAAGTTTGTGAACAATAGGTAAACAACATCGTAATTCCAATATTTCCGCAACGTAATGGAAACAAATTCTAATGTTTCTTATACTTTGCTGAAAAATGTAATATTTTGCAGAGAAAAATCAACTGAACGAATTTCATCGAGGTTATTTTTGATACCAATTTCCTGAGTGCATAGAAAATTACCATGCAATTTCATCATATGAGTGCATATTACAGAACCAATATGCACAAATGAGTCAGATGGCAGCGGGATTTTTAGTAATTTTCTCTTCACAATAACAGAAGTTATTTCTGAACAAATATTTTCAGAAATCGCAAAATATGGTTCAAATTTTCTGCTGCAATATATTATTAAATATTTCATGTAAAATGTGAAGTGGAAAACTAATCTTTGTTTCGGCAATGAATTTGCATATACCAGGTGAATAAAAAGTATGGAACCAAGCGTTTTTTTCGTAAACTTTGCACTTTACGAAAAAAATAATTAGAAAAGTACAATTAAAATGTGACCATTTATCAAGAATAACATTTTTCGAAATTTCTTTTAGTTTTCGAGTTCTAGAAATATTTTTTTTTTAATAGCAACCCACCATGGCAATTTTTTTAATTAAAGATTATGATCTAAAAATGACCTCTAATTAAATAAAATTGTTTTTTAGTCAGTACTTTTTTTTAAAATTAATTGTTAAAGTTGCGTTCCGAGCCCATTACGAAGATTTTCCGAACTTGAACGAGGGGGTCGTTTCATGAGTTTGGTCGTTGGAGAGCCCCGTTTTCTGTGCAGGTGCTTTGTGGTGGTTCCGGATGGATCAAAAAATCTAATAACAAATCATATTCTTCGATTTTTAGTCCATTCGAAACCACCCCAAAGCACCTGCATAGAAATCAGCGCTCTCCCATGATGAAATGCATGAAACAACCACTTCGGTTAAGTTCGGAAAATGTTCGTGATGAGTTCGGAACGCAACTTCAACAATTAATTAAAAAAAAGTACTGGCTAAAAAACAATTTTATTTAATTAGAGGTCATTTTTAGATCATAATCTTTAATTAAAAAAATTGCCATGGTGGGTTGCCATTAAAAATTTTTTTTTTCCAGAACTCGAAAACTAAAAGAAATTTCGAAAAATTTTATTCTTTACAAATGGGCACATTTTAATTGTACTTTACGCTACACTAATTATTTTTTCGTAAAATGCTTAGTTTACGAAAAAAACGCTTGGTTCCATACTTTTTATTCACCTGGTATAAAAATTGTAATTGAAAGTAATTAATTTAAATTTTGTTTTGCGTTGGAGATCACAACAATGTTTATTTTTATCAAACCAAATACAAAACATCGCTTTAAATACTTCATTCTGGTCAATTAGATGATTACCATATTGTCCGTAGAGACTCATATTAATCCTAATGACGTTTAACGGTACAATGAAACACAAAATTAAATGATGAAAAGAGTGGAGTAGGAGGTTCAAATTTTTGTGTTAAAACCACAAATCCTATTATTGTTCACAATATGCATATTTTTTATGAAAAAAAACTTTGTGTGCTACTATAACTGGTTTTTGTAATTTCGGTGTTTTAACAAAATTTCATTTTAGGATCAAATTATTCTACACCTTTTATAAAAAATAGCAACTTTATAGTAATGATATTATTTGAGGGAAAAAACATCATGAAATTTAAAACGTCTTAAATAAAGTAATTAAAATTAATGAGTTGCAACAGTTTTTAATTAAAAATTCTTTTCAACCTTACACAGAAGCTAATTCGATTGAAAAGCTATCTACATGTATTAAAACCATTGAAATTTATTTCAATTGAGTAAGAAAAATCAATATTTTATATACAACAATGCCAAACTTTTCCAAATTAAAATTTTCTTACGCCTTCTCTCACCGGAATTTCCAATATTGATTATATATTTTACTCTATCATTTTGATGAATAGAATTTAAACTAAATACTAATAATAATAAAAAGCTTTTAATTACTTTACTAAATTCATTTAACTCTTCCTCAGAATAACTGAATATTGGCTTGTATTAAATTATTTAAATTTCAACAAAAAAATCAAACTTATTCTAATTTAATAAATAAATAAATGATTACATGATCCGTAAAGTAAAGAAAGTACATTTTTACTAAACGAATATTCTGAAACGGAAAACGTTTGAAAGATCTTCTTCAGGTCATTAGCTATTGGTGAGATGTATTTTGTAAGATTTTATTTTTTCAATTATTTTTTTTGGAAAGTTCTACTAATCTAATTAGTGACTAATGCTCGTTGAAAATTCCAATAAAGAGTGCAGTTTTGTAATTTTAATTGTGCTTACAAATTAAGTCGTGTAAATATAAGGTGAGTTCTTGGATATCGGTGTTTTGAAACTCTTAAGTTTACTTAGCAGTTTTGACAAGCTTTATCAGTTTTAACCTCGGCTTTGAAACAATGTTAACTAGTTTGTAAGCCAGAACGTTAAGTCAAGTTTCGAATAATTACCAGTTCCAATAAAAAGTACGTCGTAAGTTTTCCCTCCGGGCACTTTAACTTGTGGATCGACGGCGATTTGGGTGAAGCGATAACTGCAAGAAAAACATTATAAAATGTTGGGACGAGAGTCGAGACGAACTTACTGGAAAATCGTTCTGATAACGATCGGCTGTCCGAAGAACGACGGCACGCTTTCGTCCATCAGCGAATGTGTTTTGATGAAATTGAGGGTGAGATCGGGCAACGTTCTGCTGTCGTTGTGACATTGTCCAGGTCTCGGATCAGGCACTTTCGAGCTTTGCACAGGCAGCCAATTGGAATTTATGGCCGACTGTTCCTTGAAGTTGCCTTCGAACGTATCGGTGATGTCCTGCAGACTGAAGGCGCACACGGCACTGCCCGAGATGCTGTTCGGCGGTGTCGTGAACGTGCCGTAGATCAATTGGGCGTAAACATCGCCGTATTGGCCCTCTATCAATTCAGTCGTTGATTCTGCAGCGGTTTAAACAAAATTAATGAGTCTGAAATAAGGACCATCACTTCGAAGGAGCAACTTGACAAACGATCAAAACTTTAACAGCGGACTAACTTTCCTTCTTTTTTACTTTTACTGGAGTTATCCATTCGGTTTATGGTGGAGTTATATCAGTGAATACTAAAGGAGTAAATTGCTCCGGTGTTGTTTGCGTGATTTTCTGAATTATGGAAGTGTATAAACTTTCAGTTGCCCAAATATAAAATGTTTTATTAAAAAGTTGGGATGAAAAGTCGTTTCGGTTTAAACTTTTCACATTTATGCCGTTAAAATGAAAGCGACCGCCTATTTTTAAAATAAAGCCAACACTCCACACAACTTAATACGCAAAATGAACGTCCAAGTGGGGCATCCAACTTGATACCACAGTCTAACACAAATATGTGTGTGTTACTCAACTTCAAAAAGAGAGATTCAAAGTAGAATTTTTTACATCTGTCAAAAGATTGAGATTTTAACAAAATATTGTTACCTATTGGAGCTTTCATAATATACAGGGTTATTCATAAATATGAATCCATATTTGAACCTCAAAAATTACCTACAAAATGATGTTAATTTAAATAATAACTCGTGTCCTATCTCTTACTGATAAGAATTTTACAGCTCTCGGAATGTGGGTATGGAAATTTGATTTTTTTATAATAACTTTGGAACTATTTGACCAAATATTATAAAATTTGGAACATTTCCATGTGACAAAATACCCTTTAAACTGGTAATCACGAAAACCGGATACATCCACTCAATTTCCGGTTCCAGCAGTTGCAGGTCACATTTTCTGTGTTTTTTCATTTTTTTGCTCTGTTAACACCAATTTTTTATTGCCCAAATCGATAGAGTAATCAATTTTGATTAAAAAACGCATAATCTTTAATACCCCTAAAATGGACCGTTTCAAAGATATTTTAATTTAATCTGAGGACTGCACAACGCTGAAACCAAAAAGTGGGGATTTTGAATCCCTACTTGTCCACGGTAACAAATGACCATGGTCTAACTAATCGCTGTCAGACATCTGTCAACTTTCGACATTGGACGATTGGACGATTAGACAATTAATCGAAAATATTTAATAAAAGAGTTTACCTCAGATTCCAAACATAACTTAGAATAAATCCAAATGGATCTCCTAGCATTTAATTCATAAAAAATTCACAAAAATTTATCGTCAAAGTTAACAGATGCCTGGCAGGGATTTATGTGACCATGGTCACTGTGGATACTACTTATTCAAAATTCATATTTTTCATTTTCAGCGTTGTGCTGTCCTCACTTTAAATTAAAATATCTTTATACTTTACGGTCCATTTTAGTGGTATTAAAGGTTATGTGTTTTTTATTCGAAATTGATTACTCTATCGATTTGGACAATAAAAAATTGGTGTTAAGAGAGCAAAAAAATGGAAAAACACAGAAAATATGACCTGCAACTGCTGGAACCGGAAATTGAGTGGATGTATCCGGTTTTCGTGATTACCAGTTCAAAGAGCATGTTGTCACAGGGAAATGTTCCAAATTTTATAATATTTGATCAAATAGTTCCAAAGTTATTACAAAAAAATCAAATTTCCATACCCACATTCCGAGGGCTGTAAAATTCTTATCAGTAGAGATAGGACACGAGTTATTATTTAAATTAACATCATTTTATAGGTCATTTTTGAGGTTCAAATATTGCTTCATATTTATGAATAACCCTGTATATTATTATATTATTATAAGTGAATTACGAACACAAAGTAGACTATAATTAAAACATCTAAAGTAATAATACGAAGTTATTATAAAATGTAATGAAATTACGACATCGATTTACATGGGGTGATAGGAAATGAAAAATAATCATGTAGGGAGAACTCCCCAGACATTCTATTTGCATGTACGGAATGATCATCCACTAAAACTAAACTGAATAAACAAACGCCTTTGTTGCTTTGTTGCGTCAAACACAAAACCTTAATATTTATCCTCAAAGAAATTTATAACTTTGTTCATACTCTTGTATTTTTCGTTAATTGGATATTTGTATTAGTTTTTGTAAAATACATTAATTAAATAATTTCGAATTTCTGCAGTCGGAAATTAAGTAAGATTTTCAAAAAAACAAAATTGCAATAAATAAAATTTCATTTTCAAAAATAAAATCAGAAATGAGTCAATTTGCAGAGAATGAGCGCACAATCGCCGGTAAGTAGATTAACATGGCAAATACATTATCTTGGTTTAATTTAAAATGCTTCTTACGTGCAAAGCGCTCGTGGCGCATCTTTTACAATTCGTCTAACTGAGTTAGCGACTAGACCGGATAACTTAATCACAACTTCAGTCTGCAACTGACTTCCTCAAACTTCCTTTACGATTGCATTTCAAAATTATAGCTTTCTCCGATCTATAAAACTCCCCAAGAAAGAAACCGAAAATAAGAAAAAGAAAGGCGAAATACATAAAGGGGAGAAGTAACTAAAAAATATGTCTTTTTAATCAAAGCTCCCTAAGTGTTAGCTATTCGCTTCGAGTTGAGCAAATTCTCCTTGTAATGCTTTAAGTGCGCCATATATAACAGCTAATGCTTTATTAATACGACAAAATATAAATATTGCACTCACGTATCTCGTTGAAGTAGAAGGGAAACTCCCCAGTGACGGAGCAGTTTAGTCTGGATTTGAGAAACGAAGTCCAGCGGTTTCTGAAACGATGCGGTCCGCCTCTGTCATTCTTGCAAACTCTCGCTACGCGAGAATAAACCGCCTAAGAGAAAAGTTTTTGTGCAAAAATGTCGAAACAACAAAAAATAAAATTTACCTTGCCACAGTTGATATATTCGACTGCTGTCTCTCGAAAGAAGAAATAAACGAAGTCTTTCTGGGTCATGGAGCTGACAAAGTCAGGAGCTGGAATAGAAAACAAATTAATCAAAAGCAGTTCGAAGACAAAAACGCATCAGCCTTTTAGAAAACTCACCGTTAAGGCTCATTGAATCGTATTGTTCCGTCTGTAGCGGCTCCCTATAGATAATAGGGTCCATTCCGCTGAAATCGGCCACCGTGCCCGTGTACAAATCGCCATCTGAAAAGAATAGATCTTGGCTGAAATTCTCTTCAATGGTGAAAATGCACGCGCGATTAAATTTCAGGAAAATTATCTAATTTCAGGAACACGAAGGCCGAGCGCTAGATCCTTTCTGCGAATTCGCCACATCAATTGTGTTAAATTTATCACGCGAAATAATTTCAGGAAACATTATTGTTGTTCCATTTCTCTATTCCCGCGGGTTTTGTTCCAGGTAGCTGTTATTAATAAATGCTGTTCTGATCCCATCAACTTTTTCACAACGGATTCCACACAAAAATCAATGTTTTTCATTTCTTCCAACTTGACATGTGCGAATCGCAACACTCAACCACGCCAAATTTTCATTTGACTGATTTTACATGCCATCAACCTTAATCATTTCAACCATTGATTTTTTGAATAACCAACACAGATTTCAAAATCATAAAGTGAAGAGAACGCTCCCTTTTTGTCATTTACTCTAACATTAGCACAGCACAGTCCATCAAATTAAAACTCTACCACTTTATCCTCTTCTGGATAATAGTAATATGCGTTTCATATTTTTCGCCAAAATACATTTTTTTGGGAGTGAAACAAGTTTGAAAAATGTAAGTTGCAATCAAGTATCAATCAAAAACGAAATAAAAACATATTCGACAACAAATACCGAGTAATTAGCAATTAGTGGGCGATTATTGTGTGCCCGCGACAATGGATGTCGCCTGCCTATCCCAGCATCCTGTTCTTGAATAATCCTCTGTTCAATAAGTGGGTTACATCTATCATTGGCCCTTGTGTCGTAAAAGCTAATTAGAGCGGCGCGTCTTGGAATAACGAGGACAATAGGGTTGATGAGGATAACTATATCATATTGAAATTGTTTCACAATCGGGTAGGTGTCGTGTCGAAAACCGGTCGAATTAATTTAGTTAGGCACTATCCTATGTTGCTTAGCCTAGTGTCACGTTCACATGGGACGAACTTCAAAGAGCGCCCGAATGACGACGACGGCGCGATACGCCGAGAATAACGAGCGCAAATAATGAAGACGTTTTATGCATGTTTGAATGTAACAAGGCTCTGCCATACAACACACAGCTTTTCATCGACGCAGCTTTGAGAGTGAAAACCGTAAAAACCCCTGATTAAAATGCAGATAAAGCTTGTTTAATGATGAAATCTTTATGTCGCTCTATTTCAAGGATCTTGGACAAGACGGTTTCAAACTGTCGTCTGGAAACACAGTCACGTTAATTGAATGAATTTTTAAAGGAGCCGCAATCACTGCGAATATGACCGGCAAAATGTTAATACAAAGGTGCAATACGAAGCAGACCGACAAATTAGAAGATGCATTATTCATCAAATGCATGCGCATATCATTGGAAACATTAGCGTCTACGACACAAAAGGGAACATGTACAATAGGCTCGTATTTCACCTAGTCAAACACATTAATTCGAATTTAAAATTGAAATTTACTATTTATTGTTATTTGCATTAGAAGCAATCTCTGTCTGGCTTTACACTATATTATCAAATTACCATCCTTGCAGATGTAGAATTACACAAAAGACCTATATATTAAATTCATTTTTTCAAAAATCTATGTTCATTCATTTACGTCTAGAAATCCAGAGTATTGCTTGCGATTTCCAAAAAACGTACCTAATACAAACGCAATTATCTCTATTTTTGTCACAAAATTAAAGTGATTTATTCAATTCTTCCCTAAAATATCAAACTTTTATTGTTGGACATAGTCAAATTGCACTTTTAACTAGAGGGTTGGTTTTTAACTTAAACTTGTCTAATTTTCTTTCAAGAAATCTTCCAAAAAGGACCAAATGCTCAACAACTTCATGCATGATAATAAATACTACTAAAATACTTACTAAAAGTTTTCCGATGTGAAAAAAAAGATAATTATAAATTTTTGTAAATTTCGGCGTCGAAACGCGCTGTAAAAATTTTTGATTGACCCTAATTTGACTAAATGCAAGACGACATACAGCCAATAAACATATTTTATTTTATGTATCCAAAACAAAATATTGTTGCTTCATCTCACTACTTTTTAAAATACAAATGTTAAAATAATTAATTTTTCAAATTACGAGTATAAGTAGTATTGTATTATAAATAGATATTAGTATTTAATAGGTAACAATTTTGTGGTTCGTTCTCAATCAAACATTTAGTTTTCATACTTTTTTTTTCATTCTTTAATATCCGTTTACTACCTAATTCTGATGTCGGAATCAAGTAAGGTAGATAAGACAGGTGGTCCTCTCAAAAATAATCCGCCGCTGCAATTTACCTATAGGATTGAGGGACATTTTTGGGGGTCCGCTGCAATTTACTATTTCTTACCACCCACCTCTGCATTTTACCTTTGCCGTTATTTTTGACACGATAGTGTTTCGACTTATTCTGTGACCTGACTTGAAATGATCACCTTGTGGTCGAAACATGTGTAAAGTTTAATTTACAAAACAGCCATTTCATAGGGAACAACCTCCTAACTTAGCTGCAACCACCCATAAAATTAACTTAGTGGTCCTTAGTTAGATTAACTATTCATCTTTTTCCTTCATCGGCCTAATCCTATAAGTTACAGTCATATTTTATTAACGCTCAACCTCCCCCTGTGTATGATACAGATTTCCAGGTGCCCAGTGCATGCATATCAAATATAACTGGGCATATTAAGAATATTTAATTGCTGCTAACCCCCAAGTCGCACTAGCTCAGCGGTTACACACCGGTCTCCCTGTATAATCAATTACATTGCCCTACAGAGCATTTCATGTAACGGCTGAACCCTAATATCTCGAAGGGTTCGTAAGAGAGACAGACAACTGCGGTTGTAGTGGTCGACATCTTTCTTGGCCCAGTTGATAATTATCGATCGAGTTAATGCTCTTGCTGCTTGTTTTTGCTCAACTATTTTCCATAAATATATTACAAGTTCTAGAAAATATTTGCATAATTGCTTTGGGACCTATTTAAATTACTTCAGTTCGCAACACACAAACAAAAACGAAATCGAAAAAAAATTCTAAGCTTTTTGTTTACTCTCGCGCACTTTTTAGACCTTTTCGGTTCAAAATTTCAAACCTCTTTTTATGACAAACATGGAAAAAAATAAGACTGATTTTTGTAAGCTGTGTTTCTCGGAGCGCTAACAAAAACAACCAAGAAATGAATAGTCCAGCACCACTGACAAATTTCGTAATTAAGATTTAAACAATACATGTTTATAAAAACATAATTTAATTTTCAACGTTCTAAGTTCAAAGTTACAGCAAATTTGTTCAATTAATAGCTGAAAGAAAATAAATTTAATTTTTAATTTATTTCACAAACAGGAAAAAAATATATTATTAAACGACAATATTTTAAAATTTGTGATAAGCAGGAACAAGAGTGAAAGTAAAGTGGGTGTAATGCTGGTGTGCGTCACAGAATATTGATTCATTTAAGTTTCACTAGAAGTATGTTGCGTTTCATTAAAAGGCTTATTCTCATTTCAAACCTAACCACAAAATTTTTCCTTATTCTTTCAAGGTTTATACCTATTTTCAATGTGCATTATTAAAATTGTGTCAAAATAAAACTGTTAAAATAAAATATGAACATATTTAAAAAATCTTGTATTGATTTGAAAAATAAAATTAAACAAAAGGTCACAGCAATCGTAACAGAAATAATAAAATCATGCTGCGTTAGTGGTATAAATCGTATATAGGAAGTTACAGCCCCAATTCATAATTCATAAAAATTTATTGTTGTTGCTTTCGTCTGATTTCATTTTTAATGTTTCATCAGTTTCAAAGCTGCTCCATCTCTCAAATATCAAATGAAATTTTAATACTTTCATTGTATTTTGCTTTTTGGCAGCGGTAAAACGAAGCTGATTTGAGGGCGAATTCCCGGATCTTTTGTCAGCCGACGACCCCAGAATCAAATCTTCGCTTCAGCTGCCATAATTCGTGTAGTTTCGTAAACGTTGCTCGTCGCAACAATCCAAAATATAACCTTCCGCGTGTTTGCTTTTGTCCGCGCTCTAATAAATTGCCTCTTCGATGTCGGATACATGATTTTTTGTTTGACTATAATATGATCTGAAACATATTTATCCCACTGCTTGTCGAATTTTATTAAGACTCGCCTCAACTTTATTAGATAAAACAATTAACACACGGTTGCGTGAACCGAAGTCGGAATCATCAATCGACTGCCACACTACTAAATAAAATTAATTAAAGTGGAGAGAATTTCGCTGCGAATCTGCTGTGATGATATTTCCTTTTAGGTCCGAAATGAATTCATGTTTGCCGGAAATTGGCAGCATTCAGCCACACTGAAATGCCATGGACTTATGTGATGAATAGTTTTAATTACGCAATAGCTACCCACGGATCAGCTCCCATAGCAATAGTTACGTATGCACATCAATTCAGGATAATTTGAATTTCAAAAGTGAGCCACAATTTGACAATAATTGGTGATAGACCGTTATCGGCTCACTTCTTTCAAATTAAAAAAAAATTGAAGTATTACAGTACATAATTTTCATATTTTTCAGAACAGAAAATTGTGTTAATTAAAAAAAATTCAAAATTTTTGAGACGAAATCCGGCCTCTGTAATTGTGATAAAGCTTACTTACCGACGTAAATGGCTGTGGAGTTATGGTGGGGATCATAGGGACAAACAGCTTGTCCTGGTTTTTCTTTTTCCATCGTGTAATTTCCATTAAGAATATTATATTCTCTGCAAACAGGCTTGAAGGCGTTGGTTCCGCATAGCAATAAGCGACCCGCTGCAGTTTTCGCCATGATTCTGATATAGTTTTGGCAGTTTTCCTGCAATAAAGAATAGAATTTTAAATAGGAAAATAGTCCGAGGGGAATTATTTTACAACCCCTAGCATAGTAATGCAGTAAATCTGCTCGCAAGCGTCTAAAAATGAAAGGCCATTGACTCGGCTGAATTTTTCATAAGACCTAATGGCTTCATTCAAACATAATGAAACATGATACGAAGTTATTATATGTAAATATTTTATCAAGGTTAATTCACCCGTGTGTGGTAGCGATTCAGGGACGTAAAACAGCGTTATTGGTTTATCCGCGTCGATTCGTCAGAAAACAAAGCTCCATAAAGGGTGAGGAATCGCCGTTTGACCGAATAAAAAAGCGTGGGGACTTTGAATAATGGCTCGAACGCGATACCGCGTCAATTGCCGAAAATAACGTTTCAATCACAACAGCGATAATAAACTGGACGGCTAATTTATAGAGAATAGCGCTAATGGCTACACGGAGCTGATTATTTCGGGCCGACAAGGCCAGAAAGCAATTAGTGCGAAGGAGAGATGCAAAAGATAAGAAGGAGCAGGGCGAATGCAAAAACTGAGCTGTAAGAGAGACGGTAAATCAGGCTCGCACAATGCTAGAGATAGGGTCGAGGCAAAAACTTAATGGGAGGCTCGAGATTGAGAAGAGATGCCTTGAGATGATACTGTCGGTGAAAAGGGGTGGACGCAGGCAAAAATTCAACCGCACTACCAAGCCATAAAATAATAAAATAACACATGAGATGAGCGGCTATTAATTTCCTGGGAGAAATAAAATGACTTGCAATAAATAATACTACGTCGCCAAGTGCTTTTGATGAGAACTTAGGGAGGCACGTAGCTCGATGGTAATAATTGGTGGAGGCGCCGGGTCAATAGAACCTCATGATTAGTATCGCTTTCGACAATCCATTAACGGCTGCCTAAATGACTGATAACTAGAGTTCGGACTTTTTAACACAAAAAAATTACAAAAATAAGCGCTAAAATAAGCTCAATATGCAAAATATGCATAAAAAAGCACAAAAATAAAATATTCCTAAATATATTGTTTTTACCAGAAAACTTCAGTGTCATTCAAAACAAAACTTATTTTCTAATAAAAAAAAGTCTCAAAACAACAAATCGAAAATTGGAAAATGAAAATACTTATATTAGGAGTATTCGCAAATATTTTTGCATTGATCATTGGTTATGCTTATAACAATGGGGACGAGGAATCGGGAGCGGCGCAGATACGACCACACATCAGACAGCGTATCGATCTTCTTCTCGCTTTGTAACATTTACAACGGCTATCCCCTTTTCTTTCAGACCTGCCCCATTTTTCTCGAACTTCTTTGTCCATTCCTTTTTTAATCAAGAAAACCAGACTTGAGGAGGTCTTAATGATCGTCAACTATTCTTTCATATTGCGACATCTCGCCTTCCCTATATTCCCGCTCCCTTTCTTCCTCAAAGATATTGCTAAACAGCCCCTTTTAAAAACCTTTAATTGCAAGTATAACGTTTAAAATAAGATTCAACAAGCCGCGAGAGATGTCAAATAAAATATATATAAATAGGGAGCCTGCGGGTCGTGTGTAGTTGAATTGCCCTACCGTGGAGTATTCAATAGAAAAGAGTTTTTTTTCTCCTTTCAACTCCGAAGATTCTAAATAATGGCGTCATTTTCCCTTGGAAGCGGTTCTTTTGTGCAAAGCCGCATGAAGACATCTAAAGATATAGACAACCGGTGGCGTGGTCGCCTTCTTTTCATACACCCGGTAATCGTGTTGGTACATTTATTATCTCCCTTGCACATCATAATTCATCAACGCATTTCGAGTCTCAGCTCTGTGACGAAACGTAATTAATCAAAGAGGATTAAAAAACTTCCTTTAAGGAGCGAATTACGTTCCTGTGAGTTAAATTCAGGTTTTCGTGTAATTTGTTAGCTCACAAGTAAATAAATTATTCTATTAGTCCAATATCCGGGAAACACTGATAGCAGAACGGGATAATCTAAACAGTCTACGAAACCGCTTCTCGGACGTCAGTCAGCTCAACAGTCGTTAAATTGAATCGACTCGACGGTCTGAATAACTCGATCTGTTATGGTGGTAGTTCGGCCGCAAATTACAAACCTGAAAACAAATCCGTTTCAGGGCTGAAACGCCGCGCTTACTTGCAGAGGACTCCTTCGCCTAATGAAACGTCGGCTGATTTCAGAACAGATAAAGGATGCGGGTGGAATCAATACCTAAATGGATGGATATAAGAACGTAGAGACGCAAAAAGGGAATAAACAAGGCATGGAACACAATCTGATAAGTGTACCTCTTCAAGGCGTGATGGCAACTACCGACACATTTTTAAGACGGCTCGGCCATTATCATGTTGCATGTTGAGGAAAATTCGCCTCTTTGATGTTATTAATTTTAATCTCTTACAGCGTTCGTTTCCAACCATTAATTAAAATGCAACCCTCGAGCCCAACTGTCGACCCAATATGACGAATAAATGACCCAACAAATTACTTCAGCACAAAAAATTTAATGCAAAAAAGTTCAAAGGTCAACGACGAATTATACACGTATTGATCATGTTAGACCAAAACGGCTAACAGAAAGAATAAATTTTTGATGACAAGTTAACAAATTATTTAGTGGAAACTACAGAAGCGCCCAAATTACTCGGAATAAATGTTTACCAACTACTTTCACAAAAAATTTTCATACCAAAAATAAGTTGCAAATTAAACCAACGCAAAAAAGCAGTCTTATACATTAGTTTTTCGTGTTTTTTTTTAAATTCTACACTGCTTAATAGAGTCTAGAATATGACTCAGTCTAAACTCTAAAAACTTTTTATAATTCGTGAGTAAACTGTATACACTGAAACTTTTCTATCAAATTAAGAAATGAAATTATAAAAGTGCCACTTTATTATAGTTTAGCGAGATTCTTCAATAGTTAAAATAAAAACTGCACAAAGATTAAAAACTGACTAGCAAGCAAAGCGATTGTCGCTTCTGTTGTTCGAAATATTTTAACAATGTTGAATAATTATTAATTATATATAGATGAAAATATGTAGTATGAGCATGAAGAAATTGATAATCAAATTGTGGAATTAGGTACACAACTATTGCATTTTATACATCATGAAAGGTTGTTTACTGAATATCAAAAACGCATTTTCTCAATAACAAGTACTCTTATTATGTATCAAAAGCGTCGCACAAAGTTTTACTCTAGCGCTGTCGGAAACGTTCCACAAATGTCAGTTCCAAAAAGCTCCAAAGCTTTCAGGCAAATATCTGCCATTATTATTTATCAAACTTAAATTTGCATTGTGCGGTAGTTTATAATTCAATTTTCAGTGTTTTTGTAAAAAAGCGTTATTTCACCTTGTACCTAACAAAATTTAAAAAATTAATAATACAAATAAATCGAATACATAAGTAAATATTCCATTAAGAGGTGAAATCTGCATGAAATGAGAGTTTTTAATAGAATTTCTAGGGTAATTTTCATTAATTATAATAATCGTAATTTCCATAAGCTGCCGTCTAAAAAGCCCGCCGTATAAAAACAAAGATAAGCGTATCAGAACGGTCTTATCTGTCGGGAAAGTTAAACTTTGTTGGAAACTCGTTTCTTGGTAATTTCCCAACATACCAAAACTATATTTTCCCGAGTGTTCAACGGCCTAAGCGAAATTTGCATACAGAATACAGCCGCAGATCGATACGGCGGTTTCGTCGTTGCTTCACAACGTAATGTCTCACTTACTTGTTTATCTACCGTAAAACATAAGTTAAGTAAGCGGCTGATAGTCTTACATAACCTAATGATCACTAATTAGGGCAAAACCGGCGGTGATAGTTACCGCGTCGCGAAATTACTCCGGTCTGATCCAGGCATTTGCCTTGAAATGGAAGATTATCGAAGGGTGGCGAAACAGACTCACACTTTACCCCGACCCATTTTTAGCCCATCCCGACGATTCGAAACTTTAAAAGGGTTGTTCAAAAGGAACGATCCATCACCCTCCGCACCAGCCTATCATAAAGACAATCGCTATTTATACTTTGGCCTTTTCTTTCGCATCCGCAAACAAAAAAAATTAATCGATGTTTTCGATTCAACGTTAAGCTCTAATCTGTTTAGGAAAGATAAGGCAAAGTCGTGTGGAAACGGATAAAGAGTTTGGTTTAACGACCTTGCGTCGATAATCGCACGATATGCTTTTGATAACTGAAGTATACCCTAATGGCTCAAATGTTCAAAATGCGATACTCTCGATGACAACGAGCTGATCGCATTAGCCCGCCCTACACACATAAATACCTAAAGAGGGTACATTTCGTGAGCAAAATACGACGCTTCTCCAGTATCAATCAATTTTTACACCAATGCCGCCAGAAAAGCATTTTTCCAATTAGACTAAAATTACTTGTACCTACTTTGCCACTTTTAGGAAGATTTATACCAAAAACTGCTTGGTTTATACATATGTGGTTGCAGTAAGTCGCATAATAGTGCACCGGCATGATAGGTAAATATATGCCCCTGACATACGAGATAACTGCTGCAGACTACTCTTATTAAATGAGCCTGCAAACTGCACTTGCATAGCCATATTTTACACTAAATATGGGCCACCCTTATCGTTCCTTACTCGTGGCCATAACGTGTAATGACTGCCATTGAGAGTCATGAAAAATAGCAAAGACGCTTCATACAATATTGGAAAATAAATGTCAGTTTTATTCTAGGTGTCTCTGCGAATAAGAACATAAGAATAAACAGGTGTTGCTAAGGTCAATGCAACGATTTTATTGAGTCTCCTTCATACCAACAGAAAAGCTCCTTATTTATATTCGATTTGCTTCTTGGGTCTTTCCACGTTTATGTGTTTTATAAAGAGTAAAAAGCAAATTAATGTTGCGTCTGGATTCCCAAAATTAACAGAAAAGAAAAAATGTATTCTTGTATATGAGATATAAAATCGTAAATTCAAATATAACAATTTTTTGATTATGTAAAAAAATGAGAAAAAACAGCCTGTACCTAATATGTGAGAGGTAAGAATGTTTTATTAGACGTGATATTAGAGGTAATATTAGCAGGCTGTCATTTGTGTCATGCTTAAATAGATTCATATTAGCATATCTTCCACCTACCTCGTCTTTCCCTTTCATTACACACATCTTGGCATCGTGTTCGTTGGAATACCACGTCAGCTTCTGCTGTTGGTTCAGATCCGACAGACTGAGATTATATACTAAATTCCTGAAACAAATAAAAAGTCGCATTAAAAGCTGATCCCTCAGTGAAACAATAACTTTCATGAAAAAGTTAATTGGCGAATGTTGCAGCAAAACAATTAAATAAAAATGTCTAAAATTTAATTAAGAAGTAATGTCGAGTCGTAAAATATAAAATAAAGTAAGGAGAATGTATGGCATGTATAGTCTAAAATTAATGTTCCCCGAAGAGTTAGTCGCACTTGGCCAAGATACTATTGCAAATTCTGCACTTATTCCAGCCAATACAATTTGTCAGAGTGCAGCGGATTATTGACTTGTTTATAGTGATTGTTACAGACTGCATCCGACGATCAATTGTCGCCCGGGAGATAAGTAAAATGATATTGCTCCAATTTCCACAAATAATGCCGGGGCAAACGACGCTCATATGCCGGAGGGATTGAACCAAATACACAGTTTCCCCAAATTAATACCTAAAACTTGGCCAATGACAAAACAGGAAGGAAACTAACATTTCCGACTTATTCCACTTGTCTGCAGGGAAAAGTAATCAAAGAAAGAGAGACATACCTCCTCTAATCTTGAGTTTCCCGGAGATGTTGAAATATTTCAAACATCTCGCAAATAATTAAGTACGACCGTATGATGGATAGGGCGGCATTTGCCGAACGTCGTGACCTCCACAAAGGGTCAATTCGCACCATTGCTCGAAATTCTTCGATATATTGTGGGCCAATAGATGTACACTATCGTGAACCGCATGCAAAATCCACGTCAGGAATGAGATAAATGGAGCCAGGCCAGATCGATTCGCAGGCCAAAGCTCATTTTATTGATATGAGAAACGGCCACCTTTGAGCCTGACATCGTCAGCTATATTCAAATCCGACACTTTCAAATTCCTAAATTGAAATCCTTCTTATCTTCCTTCGAAAGGGCTACTTTTGTATTTCCTGTCGGAAGCAAAAGCCTTCCTTGTACACAGGTCGAACCTATACATTTTTCGTTCTGATAATGACCTTAACCAATGTTCTAATCCCAAAAGAGTTAAAGCTTTTTTGTTAAAACATTTTGTAGGTACATAAAATATTATTTGAACATAATAAGAAAAGATTTAAAAAATAACGCATACCATTTTTTACTGTCTATAAATGTGTTTAGAAATTGTATAACGAAAAAGTATCAAAACCCGAATTTTATATAATCCTTGGTTCTTTTGACCCATTTTCAGATACACTATAATATGTTATTTTTGGTAAAAATATCTTAAAAAATCAATTTTTTTTAAACTGATATTTCGATATTCCTCGATATTTATTTCTGTTTCTTCAGTTAGTTCAATTCATGTCATACTTACGAGTAGTGTTTTTTAGTAAGTCGGTTAAGAGGACGTGCAGATGCAGACAATCTAACAAATTGAACTTTAAAGTTATTGTAGTGACTATACACGTTGTCTTTATGATGATTATTTGTACTTTGCTAAATCCAGATACATTGCTAACCACTCCACTAGAACACAATAGAAATAGATTGCAGAGAATTTTGTCTTGGAACAAATCTTAAGCATTGAAGACAATATGTATGATTAGTAAAGTAACATAGTTGTTTTAAAGACAAATGTTAAAGCACATTACATAGTTTTTCAATTGTTGTATTCGTAAACTGCATTAATCAAATTGTTTACGTTGTCGAAATCGCCAAAAAGTGTATACAAGAAAGGTAAAAGCAAACGCAATAAAATGTCTCGTTTCGTAGGGAGAATCTACATTTCCATGAGAAGTGGAGGGCGTTCCTAGTGGAAGTGCGACTAGTCGAAATGTTTCCAACTAAAAACAGTTTTGTAGAAAAACAGAAAAAGCCATTCGATCAGTCGAAAGGTGTATTTGGTGCAGCAGCTAAATCTTTTTATTGGCGTCTGCGATACGAGGGGCGACGAAATTGGGCTTGGTTTCATTGGATGCTCTCCCAAGGCAACAACAAGATATGCTAGTTTATGATAGCAAGCCGGCCAAGCGTTCTCAGAAATAATCTTACAATGTAAGAAGGCAATATATGCAGGGATACCCTGATATTGCACAATAGTCCAATAAAGGCTCCCAGATCGACCCTTATGATCTGAGCAGAAAAACAACTCATCCCGTCGTGTTAATTAATCAATGATGAGGCAAAAAAAAGGTAAGTAATTAAACGGCACAATTTTAGATTTATTCGATGGAACAAAGAGACTTAATTAAATGAAAGAAATTATAGAAATTAAAAATACGAAATTGAGACGTAAACGAGCAGTTTTCAACAAGTTATTAGTTTCTTTGCATTTAATTAAATTACTAACAACGCATTGGACATAATCTAAAAAGTTAAATGAAGACAGAAAGTTGAAAGTAGTAATTACAAAAACATTTCATTTTTAATTTTCGTAAGATGACAAAAGAAGACCGAGTCGAAGTGAAAAGAACTCGGGAGCCGAGACGAAAACATCGCATAAATCTGCAAAGTTTCCTAGAGGTTCTGAACAAATAAGACGAGTTATAGTTGACGTCGCCATTAGGCAGGTGAGATTATCTCGATGGTGCCCATTAGGGGAACTCGATTGCACATCTCTTGCAAATCCAGCGATGTTCTCGTGCTCAAAACAAACCCTCAACCATTTAAATTAAAACCTGATCGGTAAGAAAATTACATGCCACTATCAGACCATCGACTTCACCTCTGACCCAATGCTCATTTCCACGCGAGACTAGTGTTAAACAAACACAGAACCCTTGAGCGCGTGACAACAGCCATTGTCCATCTCTACAAATGTCTACTTTGGAGGGAGTGTCCCCTTCAAAAATAATACTTAACGACGTCCTCCGTCACTTGACTACTAATGCACCGCCACATTCTCAAATTTGGCCTATTATCCTTGTTGTTCCCAGTCACGGCGACATTTTTGTTTTTAATAAAGGACGCAATTTTTGCAAATGTTCGCTTGAAACGACAACTCGACGGATCCGTAATTAGTGTGCAATTTGCTCAAAAGCCTCGTTAAAAATGTTCGTTAATCGCTGCTGATGGAGCTCAACGAGACGTGCTTCCAGACACGGTTTTGCCCCTGCATGGTGTTGGAAAAAATCGCAGAATGGCTTTGAACCAAAGATTACTACTTAAATACAGGACACTGTAGGGAAAACTAGCAATTTAAATTCAGCAAAAATAATGATACTGTGATGAGTTTACGGATTATTTTATAATTTCATTCAGAAGTAACGTGTCTTTCAATTTGCAAGTTAAATTAAAGCTTAAATTAACAAAACGGTCGAGAATTAGAAGTAATTCTACCATTTGGATTTAGAATAGTATACCTGAACCAGTTTGCTATAAAACTGGATGAAGGTTTATTACAGTTTCAAAAGCAAAATTAGCTAAATCGGTTAATTCCAAACGAGCAATAAACTTACTTTATATAGGACAAGCTTAGTCGTAAAATAAATGTCTGTCATCCATTTTTCATCTATGAAATGATAATTCACTTAATTGAATAAATTTAACTCTAAAAACGTAAGTATTTTTTGTTAAGCAATGACAAGTTAAATTGTGTTAGATTAATTTGAGTACCACCAACATCTTCAAATTATTCATTTATTTAGTGTTAGTCACTAATGGGGAAATAATTCCCAAAATAAAATAAAATTACTATCATTATGCTATTACATTGTGGGTGTACCGCGACTGTTACCATATTGTCACGCTAAGTTTAGGAAAATTGCTTGTAGAGCAAAAATAAGTCTAAAATATTTTATATTTTAGCTCACATTACAAATGATGTTTTTCCAATTTTTTCCTCAAGTTGAATATATTCACTCGTTGTGGAGGTTTATTCAAGAAAGAACAAAATATCAAAGAAATGCAAAAATTATTTTTGTTTTGTACTTTTAGTAAACGTCCACGTTAGCTACTCGCATTTATACAACAAAATTTTCAAAGAATAATAATTAATTAGTCCTTTGTATCCTTCTCTGTATTATTTGTAATACTTGGATATGACAAAGCGGCCGAGGATTATATTTTACGCTTTCCCAACATTTCGATGCTTCGTTGCACTTTTTTCATAAAAAATGTGATTTTTAATCCTTTAGCCTGTAAGGAAAGTAAATAAAGACTCCACATTTTAATTTAGACTACAATGAAATTTTCATTTTCCAACTCAATATATTTTTAATTTTTAATATATTTACCTTAAAAATTATGAAAGTATTATCAAAAAACAACCATTTTTAAATAAATGTTTAATCAAAAGAAAACTGGGTTCGAGTCTTTAACCACCATAATAGAAACTGCGTCGAAATTCCTCCATCATTGGCCCTCCGAGACAGGGAGTCGAGTCACGCTCTGATTGTAGTTTTCGTTTCCAAATCTTAACAAGCCTTACTATCTTCTCGAAGCCCCAATCATGTCCAAACTAGGCCGGACCGAGCTCCTGAATGCTAAAACCTTCCCGTGATGGCAAAAACAATCCAAAATACAAATCTAAAATTATAAATCGTCGACGTGAATTGTTATTTTTAACTCGATAGGGTTGCAAAGTAAATTATTGGCTCCAGTCATAAGCATAGGGCATCTAATAATGCAAAATGTGGAGTTTGATATAAAGCAGATATTTGGGGGAGTATAAATTGCGACTAGCGCTCACAATGTAAATGAGTTAGAAATGTTCATTATCTAAATTGTCTGGCTGTAATGCGATATCCTGTCCCAATGAGACCGCGCGCCGCCGTAAAATGCGAATTGCACCGGGACCGATAAAAATTAAATAAATATATTGTCGCTGTTTCGTTGGATGGTTCTTGATGAGACTGTGATGCTGGATGAACTTTATTGCATTTCATTCATTTAATTACGAATTACATCATCAAATAAACTGATTTTATGGGCACTACGCTGAATTATGCGGTGGGACTAAACTCGTTGCGATGTTTGCTGCCAACCAAATTTTGCGCCCCAAAGCTACACCAAAATCACAACAATAATGCCAATCAGTAA